TTACATTCAGTCACTTCATGTCACTTCCTTTTTTCGAAACTTCCGCCCCGGCGAGTGCCGGGCACTATTTGGTAGAGATATCTATACTTACCATAGGTATACAATGGGGTGTGTAAACCAACTTATAGCTAGCGAGGCACATTCTTGGATGATTTGGTATTCTTTGACCAACCGAGTCTTCCTCTAAGCTTTGGGGTACCAGTCGCCAGGTGGCCCCACCTGCTGAAAATGGTTATGCCTTCAAGTTCCACAAACGAATTTCATCTCATTCCTTCGACCCAAGTTTGCGGGTCAAATCACAATCATTTCGCACATCCACATCTCGGGCATCCTTTCTTGAGAAGACAGCTGAGAACAACAAGGTGGAACCTGCTGAGGTGGAACCTGCTGAGGTGGAACCTGCTGAGGTGGAACCTGCTGGAACAGCTGAGGAAGAGAAGGAAGAACACAATTCGACATGGATGTGAGATGATGTGAGGAAATCTCAGAACTTGGCCTGGTTTGGTTGAAATGTCAGACTGTGTGAATCTTTAAAAACGCAGTTTTTGAATTTTCAAAGGCAACACATTTCCAAAAAATCGTTATGCATCTTCAGAAATGCCGAAGGCATTTTCGATTGTGAGTAAATGACAATCTTTGCTTGCGAATCAGTGACCACAATTCCCATCCTCAGTCTGAGCCCTTCAGTTGTTGCCAAGGGTTTTCAATGCAGAATACGCGGTCATTTGCAAGCAAGGCACTTCTTCAACTTTGACTTGCGAAAACCATGTGCTCGTTGCAAAGGTCATAAGGTGTTTGTGAGTCATTTGTGTGCAATCCCAGCGGAAGTGGACGTGGATACTGGCTGGTAATGGCAAAGGAAAATGCCTGCGGCGAGCAGAGCTGCGAGTCACCAAAAACTCGAGCTGTTCTACCGAGAATACACAGGATTTTATGACAAAAAATGGCTAACAATTACCAAAGATGATCCGAAAAGATTGAGAAAACAACCAAACATGATAAACATTGATAAACTATGCTGGCGTTTGTGGTTTCGCCTTTCTTTCCACCTTTTTGTCGAAAAAACATCCGCCCCCTTGACCTCAGCCTGAGGTCATGGGGCCAGTTGTGCCACTCGCTGAATCGCTGAGAGCCGAGTGAAACAATGCACGGATTGTTTTAAAGCATCAAGACTGATCAAGACTGATCAACCCTGTTCTATGTTCAAGAAGGACTGCTTTCCATCTCCCTGCAAAACCAGCTGTCACATTCAGTAGTGACTTTGCCCTTCCGTGCCATCTTGGGGCTGCAAAACCAGCCATTTCATGCAATTTCTAGTTGTATTTTTTGATCGCAGCCAATTTGTGGAATTTTGAAGCTTACTTTTTGAAGGCCAAAGATAGACCTGGTAGATTGTCGACCACCTCGACCCGATGTGCGGGGCCGAGAGATGGGTCACAGCCTTTTTTGGGTTTGACACTTCCTAGCCTCGTGGGACAAGGGTCTGGGCTGGAAGGAAACTTGAGTTGTTTTTGAGTTTCACCAAGAGGCTTGCTGCTTGCGAACAAGAAATCTGTATTTCCCCTGCAGATTTCACCCGAAATCCAGTCCTTTCAAGGCTCTGACAGGATGGCGTCAGTGACTCAGCCGGCACTGCTGGGAATCCAGAGAAGGTGAACAAGTTGAACAAGTTGAGGATAGAAACAACTTGAAACTACCATTTATTTTTTCAGCTTTTTCCATAGTTGACATGAGTTGAAAAAGTTGAAAATTGACAGAGAATTTCGTTGCATGTTGGCAGCCGTATTGGCAGTGAAATCTGTATATAGTCGCTGTCGCCCTTAGATGGCAAGATTGCGAAGTGACCCACTTGCAGGTTCATGAACAACATTACTGATACTCGACAAACAACTGACATGTAAAAACACCTCATGCATAGGTTTCGGGCCGAATCTGTAACGCGGGAACATTGAACTAGTTGGATTCACTTCGGAAAGGAAAAGACACGGTTGAATCTGTGGTAACTGTGGTAATTCGACAACAAACCATCAATTTAGACATGCATTATACTATTATACCATGGATTATACAAATTAATGCAAATTACACATGTTTATACCATTTAATACCACATGATAAGATCCTACCTTGTTTTGGCGTCTTAAACCAGCAGGGATGGTAACTTTGGGATTGGCTTCACCACCCTTTGGACCAGCAGGGATCCTGCCTGCCATGGCCTGGGTACTGCTTGGTTCCCTGGGTGTCACGGCGTCAGTGGCTTGACGACTGCTGGGATGGGTGACCCATGGTGACCCTTCGGACCTTCGGAGTCTCAACAAGCTCCATGGGGAAATCCAGGAAACATGGATTTGAATGGGAAAATTATTATGGCTTGTGACACAAGCCTTGTGTCGGGAATGGCAAACTTCTCTCGAGAAAAACAAAAAACACTGGGAAGATCATCGAACTATATGGGAGATTTTGCAGCACGCATCAGCACGCCATGTTTCATTACTAGAGGCTACTCCCCAGAAAATTGAGCTAGGCCATCTACCGAAACCCGGACCTTGTCATCAGACCGGATGGGGCATCTGAGATGAAATCGAGGGTTGACACGCTGAAAGGGTATGCAAGTGGATGATGTGGCCCACCATGTTGATGTCAAGTTTGGATGGTCAAGGTTCAGTGCTTTCAAGTCGGAAACTTCTTCACCGACTGACGAACAGGTGGCATCCCATCATGGAGTTTCGATGCATAGCCATGAGACATCTTCCACTTTTCATATTACAAAACAATGAGTCAAGAAACAGACGGGCTTTGTTGGGGATGGGTTTCGCCATATTTTCTTGCGAAACCCACATTGCTTAAAACCAACACTTTGATGGTTGAATCATGTCAATTCCACAGTTCGTGATGGTCCCATCACCATTTTTTGATGATCACAGGTAGCTCAGTGATGTTCAATCCCGTTTTTTCTTAGGTGAAATCACCTTTTGTTGTTGCTGAAATCCACATTTCCGTTGTGCAGGGCCTGTGGCCCCGGCCTTTGAGGCGCAGTTTAACCTCCACAACTATGGGGTGGAGCTGAGCCACCCGCCCGCCTGTGCTCCGTTGCGGGATGCTGAGGTCCCGTCAGCGTGGCTGCGGCTGCGCGGCTGGGTCAAGTGTCTATTCACGTCACAGTGATTGGATGGCTAATATACTTTTTTTTTGTTTATATATACATTCATGTAATAATAATATGTATAATGTGTATATATATATAATATAGTATTATATAATAGTATTGTATAGTTATAGTTAATGGGTATGTATAAAAGGAAATTTAGAAGAGAAACTTCCGAGTTGCGGACAAATGACAGTGGTGGTTTGATGCAGTGACTTTAACCCTTTCTGAACATAGAGGTATCAGCATGGCTCTCCGTTTTTTTGACAATGACAAGGACCTTGGATGAATTTGAGCGAGTAGTGGGTTTTCAGCACTCACTTGGGGGTGCATCCCAGTCGGTAAGCGGTTAGAGAACCATACATTAGATGTTGTAAATCCTTGTAAATCCAATTTAATGTGTATATATATATATAGATAGATAGATAGATAGATAGATAGATAGATAGATAGATAGATAGATAGATAGATAGATAGATAGATGGGATCATGATAAATCACTGTAAATCCATGTAAATCATTATAAGTCCAATCATTATATGTATATGTATATAAAAATATGTGTATAAATCCCGTCACCACGTAGCCCATCCACGGTGCCCACGACAGGTTCCAAAAGCGGCCACAGTGGGCTTTGTTTTTGGGGCCTTGGCAGCTTCGGTTCCTTGGAACTGAGTTCGACCCATTGTCCCATCAGTTTCCCGTTAAACGTACTGTTGTGATATGGGAAACCACTAATATAGGAAAATCAATGGGATAATAATGGGATATACAATGGGATAATGGATGATGATATAATTGGATGTTCACCAGTAATAGTAAACTCAATAGCCTCTGGTAAACTAACATAGCAATGGAAAATCAACATTTTCAATGGGTAATTCAACTATATATTTTATATTGCCATTTTCAATAGCTATGTTAAATTACCAGAGGATAAGGGAAGTTTACCAGTACTCATGATGAGAGTCATGGTACGTAATTGGATAACATTATATAACAGGAGCCTGGATGTGTGTGTCCAGACATGCGGTGCCCAAACATTATTTTCCAACTTGAAATGGACCATGAAGTGGTGCAGCTTTGCAGTCCTCATCGAACACACATCCACATAGATGATTCAAAATCAAAAATCTATACGTGTACTTCATAAGATGACTCCATTCCAGTTGTTTTTTCCCGTAGTTTCAGGGACGGCTGTTCGGGTTTCTGGGTCGGTGATCGTCGTCTCCAAGGCCAGCTACTGGATCAAGAAGCGCCAAGAGGAACGGATGCAGCCCAATAAGGTTTCCCATCCGCGACTCGAAGATGAAGGGAATCCCAGGGATTGGTTATGACATGTTATGACTATGAGATGAGATGGCTAGTGCGAGAGGATGATCTGGAGATGATATTGCCATGGTATAGATTCGGTATAGATGGCAACACAGAAAATCATAGCCATTTTTGGAACATGACCAAAACGCAAGGGATTTCTTGGGGTACCCAATTTTCAGAAAAAAACAGAAGGGAGGCAAAGTTTAGGGCGCTTGCGGAATCCCCAACCGGGGATCATCAATGGGCACATATTGCAGATCACTGGTTTCAATATGGTCCAAATTATGTGGAAATTCCCTATTAAATCATGGTTTATAAGGGGGTGTTTAATATTAGGAGGATGGGATTGTGTTTCAATACTTTTTGGATTTTCCATCACCTGTGATGATGATCCATTTACATAGATTAGCAGATATTTTTCAGGGGTCTCCACCAATCATACTTGGATACGCATCAGTGGGTAACCCACTTGGAAATGGCCCAGTTAGATTGGTAGTTTACCGCCCTATTTATACAAGGTTCGTCCCCCCCCAGTTAT